GTACATGCCTGTATTTAGACCTCTACAAACGCCCTTTGCCTCCTAGTTCTTTCTTCTATTTCCTTCCTCTCTTGTCCCACTATCATGATCAACCTTCATTTCTGTTTCAGTAATTCCTCTTGGTTACATTGACCTTGATCAAGCCCTACCAGGCTTCTTACACTCTCCTTGCCACTGATTTTGGATAACTTGTTGTTCTCTTGTACCTGGGTTGGTCAACACCACCTCCTCTCCCATGTCCACCTGGAAACATCGGTCCTGTTCTTTTCTCCTCCAAACTGTTCGTCCAGCCTATTTTATCTAGATAGACCTGCAGAGATAATAATATGCACAAAAATACAAGACATAGCAAAACAAAGTGACAAAAGAAAAAACAACAACAACAAAAAAACCAACAATAAAAAGTTAATTAGTTAAGAATAAATTTTAAAATTTTTAAAGAAAAACCTGTAAATAGTTCAAAGTCTATTTGTTTTCATCTGAGTGTCCTCCAGTCAAGTCCGATGGGGTGCCACACCTTGGCCCCAAAGTGTCTCCTTGGCACTCCTTTCAGACCTCCCTGCTCTGTTTTGCCTCAGTGTGGTGGGCAGGAGTGGGTCAATCCCGACACTGTGTCTCCAGTGTTGAACCCTGTAGGGGGACATCATGTCTTATAGTGGGGCCAGCCTTCTGGTTCACTCTGTGCATTGACTGTTCTGAGCAGGGATATTGTCCTCAGGGCTTGGTGGGGCAGGATGTGCTCCACTCTCTCTTCCTCTCCCTTCCTTTGCTCCAGTGTGCTCTGATCAGATATGTCCCTCTCCCTGAGCTGCAGCTTGTGTGCTATCCTCTAAATTAAATTCTTCTGCGGAGAGAGGCGGCTGTCTGTGTCGGCCATCAGACCCTTCCACTGGCTCCCCACTGCATGCCGCATGCTGCATTCACATTCCAGAGTACCGGCTTGAAGCCTGATCCCTCTTTCTCTGTGGAGATATAAACAATACCCCCACCCCGCCACCTTTGGGTGGGTTCGTGCCCTGTTCCCCCGCTACAGATTTCTATCTTTTTTTCTTACCCACCCCCTCCTTTTTAGTTGGCTACCATATGTACCCCTGGATTTGGTGTGGCCCGTGCCATACTACCTGGACCTCACCCAGGAATGTTTGTATGTAGCTTTTTCCCTGTGCCCCTTTTGCATTTTTTTTTAGCTTACCTCAGGGGAGTCCTCCCTAAACTGAGACTCGTGGACAGGTAAGTTTGTCAATGCCCTTTCTCTTTTTTTAATCAACGTTAATTGATGGGGGAAAGTTTCTTATGACTTTCACAGCAAATTCTGTTTGAAAGCGATACGTGAGAACTGTGACGTTTAAGGCTAATGATTTCCCTTCACGGTTGCAGCTGCTCAGTGGGGCTGAGCCCTGTCTGACTCAACTCACCGCAGCCCTGTGTGGGATAGAAGGATACTCTACCCAGTCTTGCATCATTGATGCTCCATCCAAATAAGGCTTAATTTACTGAGAGAAATCCACGGGAGCATTGTCTTGCGTGAGAAGTATTCTCTGGTGAAGCATTGTAGGCAATTTTCTGCGAAATCTTTCCCTAAAGCAGTGGTTCTCAACCTGTGGGTCACGACCCCTCTGGGGAGTTGAACAATTCATAACAGTAGCAAGATGACAGTGATGAAGTAGCCACAAAGATAATTCTATGCTTGAGGGGGAGGGGGCTCACCACAACATGAGGAAGTGTATTAAAGGGTCACAGCATTAGAAAGGTTGAGAACCACTGCCCTAAAACACATGTTGACATTCTTTGGCCCTCATGGAGAAAACTGAGAAAATGCCTTAAAAATCCACCACACACTGCGCTTAGGGATTTCAATAGAAAGTATAGGTAATCAGATTGGAGAATAAAAGCCTTGTTGAGAAACATGTCTATCTATAGGCTATGTTCCAGGGTAGCATATGACCATTGTTACCTGCTGCCAAGTGAGTTCTGACCCAGGATGACCATACTCACATAGCAGAGGCCCACTCCATGGAGTGCTCTAAGCTGTGTCCTGTTGAAATGAGATGGCTTAGCCTGTTTGCAGAACCAGTAGCCTTACAGCTAGTTATGTTTCCCATTATCTTTTTGTCCTACCCAGGGACTCCTGCAGTCAGAGACTGTCATGAGGGAAGGCTCGTGTCCAGGCACGCCGACTCACGGCTGTTCTAATGAAAAACTTTCTCTCCTCAGCAGAAACACAGCAAGAAAACTCCTCCTATTCCTCCCGCCTCTTACATATCCCTTGTCAGCAAGTCCTCAGCCAACATCTGCTTCAGGTGTCCCAAGGCTCTTGTGATCAACATGTGAGTTTCTGGAGCGAAACCACTGAGAGTCAGGAGAGAGCCATCACCCCTAAAGGCTTGCGTGTGAGGACAGTGGACAGAGGGACTTCAATGGAATCCTTCAGTCCTACCCAGGACATAAGTCCTAGAGACGGACACCCAGGGGCAGGTCTGGAGCCGGGCTCATTCCTAAGATTGTCATCTATGCGAACAGATGGAGTCTTAAAGGAATTGGAAACCTCAATGTTTGGAGCGGTCAACCGTAGCGAGAATGGACCAGACTGTGCCCACAGGACCAGTGGAAACACAAGACAGAGCTCCGGTCTTCATGAGGAGCCGCACGTGTGCCAGGAGTGTGGACGAGCATTTATTTACAAGGCATATCTCATCCAACACCAGAGGATACACTCTGAGGAAAAGCCTCACGTGTGCAGAGAGTGTGGGCGAGCCTTTCTCTGGAAGTCAAGTTTCCTTAGACACCAAAAGAGACACACGGGAGAAAAGCCACATGTGTGTCAGGAGTGTGGGCGGGCCTTTAGAGAGAATGCGGATCTCACCAGACACCAAAAAGTACACTCAAGTGAAAAGCCATATGTGTGCCAGGAGTGTGGGCGAGCTTTTAGCAGGGAGTCGGATCTCCTCCTCCACCAGAGGACACACTCTGGGGAGAAGCCACACGTGTGCGAGGAGTGCGGGCGAGCCTATAAATGGAAGTCAGAACTCATTAGACACCAGAAAACACACACCGGGGAAAAGCCACACGTGTGTGAGGAGTGTGGGCGAGCCTTTCTTTGGAAGTCAAAACTCATTAGACACCAGAAAACACACACCGGGGAAAAGGCACACGTGTTCAAAGAGTGTGGGCAAGCGTTTCTTTTTAAATCAGAGGTTATCACGCACCAGAAAGCACCCACTGGGGAGAAGTCACATGTGTGCAATGAGTGTGGGCGAGCCTTTCTCTGGAAGTCAAACCTCATTCAGCACCAGAAAATACACACTGGGGAAAAGCCACACGTGTGCAAGGAGTGTGGACGAGCCTTCCTTTTGAAGTGGCAGCTTATCACACACCAGAAAAGACACTCTGGGGAGAAGCCACACGTGTGCCAGGAGTGTGGGCGAGCCTTCCTTTTGAAGTGGCAGCTCACCATGCACCAGAGGAGACACTCTGGCGAAAAAACATACGTATGCATGGAGTGTGGGCAAGCCTTTTTTTGGAAGTCAAATCTCACTCACCACCAGAAAAGACACACTGGGGAAAAGCCACACGTGTGCAAGGAGTGTGGGCGGGCCTTCCTTCTGAAGTCGCAGCTTACCATGCACCAGAAAAGGCACTCTGGGGAAAAAACACACGTGTGTCAGCAGTGTGGGCGGGCCTTTTTTTGGAAGTCAAATCTCACGCACCACCTCAAAAGACACACAGGGGAAAAGGCCTATGTGTGCAGGGAGTGTGGGAAGGCCTTCCACTTTAATTCAGAGCTGCTCATGCACCAGAAAACACACACTGGGGAGAAACCACATGTGTGCCAGCAGTGTGGGCGGGAATTTCTTTTCAAGTCGCAGCTTACCAGGCACCAGAAAACACACACTGGGGAAAAGCCACACGTGTGCAAGGAGTGCGGGCGGGCCTTTCTTTGGAAGTTGCAGCTTAACATACACAGGAAAAGACACTCTGGGGAAAAATCACATGTGTGCCAGGAGTGTGGGCGTGCCTTTATGTTAAAGTGGCAGCTTACCCTACACCAGAAAAGGCACACTGGGGAAAAGCCATATGTGTGCGAGGAGTGTGGCCGAGGCTTCCTTTTGAAGTCACATCTTATCACCCACCAGACCACACACACTCTGCAAAGACCACATGTGTGCCAGGAGTGTGGGTGTGCCTTCCTGTGGAAATCACAACTTAACATACACAAGAGAAAGCACTCTGGTGAAAAACCACATGTGTGCCAAGAGTGTGGGCAAGCTTACAAATGGAAGTCCTCACTCCTTGAACACCGGAGCACACACACTGGGGAGAAGCCACATTTGTGCAAAGAGTGTGGGCAGGCTTTTAAGTGGAAGTCAAGTCTGTGGAAACACCAAAAAGCGCACACTGGGGAAAACCCACACGTGTGCAATGAGTGTGGGCGAGCCTTTAAGTGGAAATCAGGTCTCCGTACTCACCAGAAAACACACACGGGGAAAAATCCACATGTGTGCAAGGAGTGCGGGCTCACCTATAAGTGGAAGTCATCGCTCCTTGAACACCAGAGGAGACACTCTGGGGAAAACCCACATGTGTGCAAGGACTGTGGGTGTGTCTTCACGTGGAAATCATGTCTCCGTAAACACCAGAAAACACACACTGGGGAAAAGCCACCTGTGTGCAAGTAGTGTGAACAAATTTTATTTGGAAGTTACAGCTCCTCACACATCAGAGAAGGCTTGCGTTAAGTCATTCTGTGTGAAAGGGGAGAGGGCGAACATTTAGGCAGAAGTCAAACCTTTGTGACCACCAGAGGATCCACTCTGGGGACACACCACGTGTGTGAAGCCAAATGATGTCATTTACATTATTCGCAAGCTACCTCTTGTGGGCCACAGATACCTCCTGTTTGTATAGTTCTAGCCAGTCGTTTGTTAAAAAATCACAAAGACTGGCTCAAAGAATTCTAGAAAGTCATTCAGTATCTACCAGATAGCACATGTACCATTTAGAATGCACAAAGAAAAAACTTCCTGAAGATAATTCAAAAATGCTAGTAGCAGTGTTTCCTAATATATTGAGTTAGTCTAACATTCTTAAGCACAGAGTATGTGCACGTGAGCAATACGTCTTAAAATCACATGTTTAAGGACCTTGGAGTTGCTTTTAAATGATAACCACCATATGGGCAATAGAAAGAAACACCGCCCAGTCTTCCCAAATCCTCACAGTTCTATATATGAACCTATTGCTGCAGCCACTGGGTGGTGTCCCTGCTGTATAGCATACATGCTGCCCTCCACACTCTGGTATTCCCTGACAGCATGTCCTAAGTGCATGAGATGAAATCTGCATCTCTTGCCTCTGTTGAGGATCCTGGCTGTACTTCTAAGACAGTCTGGCAAACCTGGGAACAGACCTTCTGTCCCATAGTCCTTTCAATTAAATAGGCCACCAAAAAACCCCAGAATACATAGCAAGAGTTATATAATCGGTTCTTTGAAGAGAACCTTTTCATAGGATTTCCCCTTATCACCACCAGGTTAAGCATGAAAGCTAAAGTGGTCAATGCAAATCTAAATAGGAATCATGTAGGAATTAGTACGTCACACTTCATTGAGCCCTTGGGAAACAAGTGAAGCATACAGCGATAAATGGAAAAACGACTACAATATCGATATTTCCATGTGGTTGATGGAAATTTCCATCAATGCCATCTTGTCCATACGCCACATCAATATATTAATGAGCAACTTCCAGAAAACCGAGCTGGACTCAGAACAAACACAGTGACGTTCACTAGATTTTGGTCCAGTGTCCTTGTTGACTTTCTCTAGGTGTTCTAATGCCGAAAGAGTTGTATTATTGAGAACTGCAATTTTTTTAATAAAGTATTTTATAGGAGGCTCTTTTCTTTTTAAAGACTGTATAAAAGTATTTAATAACAAAAATTCAGGAGGGCTACCCCCAACGGCAAAATACACCCGAGGTAAACGCAGGAAAACAACAAAAACACAGAAAATGTTGAAAACCAGAGCTGGCACAATGTGCATCCGAGAGGGAACCAACTGACAATGTTTTAACCATTCAAGTCAGGTTTATCATATGGAATGATAGGGTATCTGTATTAACACCCAAGAAAATGTATTTAGGGGAAAAAATATTCAATAAGGGAAGGATACCCACTTGTTTCAAAGGTTCACCAAACCCCAGTTTCTTTTAAAAAAATACTTTTATTGGGGGCTCTTACATCTCTTACAATCTGTACATTCATCCAATGTGTCAAGCACATTTGCACATAGGCCACCATTATCATTTTCAAAGCATTTTCTTCCCACTTGAGCCCCTGATATCAGCTCTCCATTTCTTCCCCCTCCCTCCCCTGCTCGCCCTCCCTCACAAACCTTTGATAAGTTATAGATTATTATTTTCATATCTTACATCATCCTCAGTCGCCCCTGACCCACTTTTCCATTGTTCATCCCTCTGGGAGGGAGTTATATATTGATCCTTGTGATTGATTCCCCCTTCAATGCTCTTACAGTCCATACATCAATTGTATCAAGCACATGGGTACATATGTTGGCATCATTTTCAAAACATTTTCTGCTTGAGCCCTTGATAGCTGCTTCTTTTCCCTCCCTAACTTCAATTATTATTTTGTACTCAATTTCTCCTTTCAATTAATCGGTATTTCCTTGCTATGTTTGTGCTGTGTTATTGAAAGCATACATATTTATGGTCATAATGTTTTGTTGGTAAACTGATCCTTGTTTAACTGATATATATGCTTATGTCCTAGCGGGTTTTGTATTAACGCCTACTTGATGTTGAGGATTGTACTTCTGCTGTCTTTTGGCTGATATATATGCTAGTATTTTATCCATCCGCTCCCCTTCAACCTATTTGTTTGCTTGGGTCTACAGAATGTCTCAGGGAAACTGTATAGTTGGATGATGTTTTTAAGCCCATTCTAATACTCTATTTCCTTTGGTTCATTTACATCCATTGCAATTATTGATGAGGAGTGACTCATTTATGCCATTAAAAAAAAAGTGGCTCGGACTCACTCTCATTCACTCACTCACTCATTCTCTCACTCACTCACATTCACTCACTCTCATTCACTGACTCACTCTCTCACTCATTCACTAAAAAAAAAAAAAAAGTGGCTCAAACAGTCTTTGTCCTTTTCCATTAATCTGCTTCTTCCTTTTCTGTTCTGATGGTTTGTACCTTTTTGTACATGCTGTTAAGCTAGACCCTGGAGAGAAGAAAGCCAGAGACACTTGTATATGTATTTGGGTAGAGAGAGGTTATAACAAGAAATGGCTCACACATCATCGCGGAGGATACCTGACATTGTCTGGGGTCAGACCTTCAAGAGGGGAGGAGACCATCCACTTCAGGCAATACAACCTCAAGACAAGGCTGGGTCAAAACAATGGACCACCCACAGGACTGGAAAGAGAATCTTGCGGTCAAATCAAGCCAAGACCAGGGGAGAGGAGCATCTACATCGTGGAGGAGACACTGGTAGTTCTGTTGTTGAGTACAGGGGTCATTGGGGGAGAAGTAGCTGCCTATCAGGGATGCTAAACAAGGGTTTTAGGGTGCCTACGGGGGCAGTGGTCCCGATTTTATGTTCCTAGGTAGACACTACAAATATCTTTCTACCCAGTCCTCAGTGGCACTCCATGGAATAAGTACCATGACGAACTTGGGCGATGACCTTGAGGGCAGCATGGCATAACCCAGGGGCTGCACCAGAAGGACTTACCATAGAGCCCTGGCAGCTTGCCTCGAAGTTGCCTCCACCCTGGGACTGAGGAATAGGGCGCTTGAAGGGAAGAAGCAGAGTGCAGACCTGTGGAAGTGGCATTTATTGGACTTTGCAGAGAACCCCAGTTTGAGTGGGTGTCCAATGGAAAGGGACACAGGCTCATCATATATATGTTTTAATCATTTTATTAGGGGCTCATACAACTCATCACAATCCATACATACATCAATTGTGTAAAGCACATTTGTACACTCATTGCCCTCATCAT